ATCCCCTTCAATAATTTGTCCTCCTCCTCAGAGATTTTTTTTGTCTCTTTCTCTTTTTTTGTTCCGCCAAAGAATGGCCCAAATAACTCCCTTCCTCCACCAAATTCTCTCGCCCAAAGCATTGTCCCCAGCCCATCCAATTAATACCTCCTGGCCCAAGATTAGTGCTCCCCAGAATGGCCTCCGTCCAATTAAGTCCTCTGGGCCTTGAGCCCAAGTGAGTAGTCCACCAGTAATTCGAGCCCGATTTATTGCTTGTGCACTCGCTCCTTTTTCGTATTTTCTCCACCTGTAATACATCAAACTCATGGCACTCGGCAGTAATGGTTTTTTCAACCATTCTCGGGTTAGCGAGCCCTAAAATAGCACCAATTGGCTAAAACATACCATGAGATAATCACATAAAGTCCAAGAATCCGATATATTAAAGCCGAATATCACAAACTAATTTTACCAGTATATACCATATGGTAACCACTGCAAACTAATTTTAGCACTATATACCATATGGTAACCACTGCAAAAATTGTGGTGAGATACTTACAAGGTTACATTCTGTGAAGCTGAGGTTTTTTGCCCATTCTTTGTTGGTGATGTCCAAGTCCACTTTGTCGTAGTAATCGTCTGGAGATAGTACAGGATTGCCACTATCAATGTCCAGTTGGCAGTCACCCTGAAAGTTGTGGTTGTTATTATGTGTTTTATATATGTGTTGTCTAAGAACTATTGACAGAATATGGGTGGGTTTACTTACTGCCAAAGATGTATCGAAGAACCACCTTTTGAATTTTCCTTTTTTTGCTTCATTCCTGTTCATTACATCTCCATACCAGTCGATGACATCAGATGTGATTTCACAGCCAATGTCAATCAACTGTACTGACTCCCTTTTCAGCAAGAATGTTCCATCCTTCCTTTTAAACATTATCTCATCACTGTATAAAAGCACATCACAACAGGACGAATGGTTTACTTTAATTTATGACATCAAACAATAGGTTACCACAACAAAACCATAGCTTACCACATCTTACCATATGGTAATAAGTAAAACACACCAGCTTACCACATCTTACCATATGGTAATAAGTAAAATAGAACAGGAGTTATGGTTTAATCCATTCTTTAACAACAAACCTTAGCTTACCACATCATACCATATGGTATTAAACTAAAACAAAACAGGACTTGTGCATTACTACATTTTGTAACATTAAACCATAGATTTATCTAATTTTACCATATCTTACCATATTTTACCATATGGTAACAAACTAGATCACTACAGTAAAATCATATAACAGTAGAAGTTTTAAGATGATGACTTACCTCTTGACAAATTTCTTGTTTTTGCTTCTTATGTACTCCAGGATGTTGTTGAACATATCATCAGGTATTGTTTGTGTTGGTGTTGACCATTCAACTGGTGATTTTTGTGATTGTGGAGCAACTGGTTCGACAGTTGGAGAATTCAGGTCCTCTAGGTAAGCATCTATGCATTCACAGACTTCCTTGAGCTTCTCTTGGCTGTTTGTGTACAGATTTGACCATATAGCATATGACTCCGTCTATGACTGGGTGCTTTGTGGCTGTGCTGGTGGTGGTGTTGCTCTTGCCTTCTTTTCATTTCCGTGCACATTCTTCACCACGATTCTTCTTTTGCGAGGCTCTCATGGTTGATCGGTTGCCGTGTTGGTAGTCAACTTCGTTGGTGTTGTTGGTGTTTGACGGTTGAGAGGGCTGAGATCAAAGGATGGAATGTCGTCTTCCCTTGTCACTTTAGGCTTCTCAGCAGCTTCGGTTGTCAGTTTTGGAGCCTCTTCTCGAACAACATCATATGACACCGTTTTCTCGCTGTCAGTTTCTGCAGTCTTTTGCGCAGCTTGCCCTGTATTCCCTTCTTCTGTTGTTTCCTTATCAACTTCCATTGGATCTGCTGTTTTGGTAGCTCCTTTTTCTCCTGTTTCTTTTGCAGATGTCTGTTCTGGAACTGATTTCGGGGTGTCCTCTTGTTGTGGTGTTCCCTGATTGAGACCTTCTTGAACTATATCTTACCACATCTTACCATATGGTAACAAAGTAAAACAGAACAAGAATTATGGTTTCCTCCATTTTTATAACATGAAACCATTGCTTACTACACATTACCATATGGTAACGTATTAAAACACAACAGGACTTATGTTTTCCTCCATTTTTATAACATGAAACCATAGCTTACCACACCTTACCATATGGTAACAAACTAAAACACAGCAGGACTTGTTGTTTTTTGCTATTTTTAAAACATGAAAGCATAGCATTACCATATGGTAACAAAGTAAAACAGAACAAGAATTATGGTTTCCTCCATTTTTATAACATGAAACCATTGCTTACCACACATTACCATATGGTAACGAAGTAAACCACAACAGGACTTATGTTTTGCTCCATTTTTATAACATGAAACCATAGCTTACCACACCTTACCATATGGTAACAAACTAAAACACAGAAGGACTTACGCTTAGCATGAATTGGACAACTGTAATATAGATAATTTGTACTTACTTGGTTGACTGTTCTGATATTCTTCAAATCAAAGTTCAGTGATGATGACTGGTCTGGACTTTTGTTTCTTTGTCTTTTCGGTGATTCATAGACTGACTCATTCTCCTCTTCCTCATCAGCTGCATCATCAGCCTCATCGTCACTAATGTTGGCAAGCTTTTCGATCTCGTTCAACTCTTTTCCAGTGTAGTAGCTCTTAATGTTCTCAAAGTTGCTATCAACATTGTTATCATCATAGTAGCTTACTGTTGGTGTTCGAAGCTGGGTTCAGAATGCCATTTCGTCCAGTTTGTACATGAAGCATACCTTTTTATGCAGATAGTTGTATTAGTTTTTTCAAAGAGTATCATTTATATATAAAATATATGAGTAACAAGGTTGAAATGGCCAAGGGAATGGAGACTTACTGTAAGGAAGTGAAAATCTGCACTGACATAGAGCTTTGGTGATTGCAATCCTTCATTCATGTGGTTGAAGAAGTATTTGCACCAGTTGTAGCTGGTGAAATGTTTCAGTTCATCAGTCTTCAAGTACTCAAGCATGTTGAGTTCAGCCATAGGGGCTGAAGTTGGGCACAGCAAGCCTCCGGTGACCAGCAGAAAGAACAATTGTAACCATCTCTTACTGTTTGTAGTTGTAGGAAGATCTTTTTCTACCTGACTTAGCTTTACCCTTGGAGTGGATGCTCCATCTACTTCCAGTAGGGTTTCTATTGCATAATCTGATGCGTCGTCCCAAGAAATCGTGGGAGGTACAACTTCCCTTTTCCCCATTGGCAGACCATATACCCTATGAAAGTCGATTGGTGATATCTTCATGCGTTTCCCGTCAGGTAGCTTGAACGATTGTTTGATTGGATTGTATTTGTTCATAACGAACAGTGCAAAATGGTTGTTTATCTTTGTCTGCTTGATTGATATTAAGCCTGCTAGGCCCAATATCTCAAGTTTCTGTTTCTGCTCATCTTTTATAGTCCTCGCAATTGCAGATATTCTTGTTGGGTTGCACCTTGTGCAAAAAGTTTTTCTTTGGTTTACCATAGTGTACCTGAATGTAGAAATTAGGAATAGTCTGTTAGCGTGCTTTTTACCATAATATACCATATGGTACCATAATGGTTTCCTACCATACCAAATCAAACCATATATTTATCTCATTTTACCATATGGTAATTACATCAAACCATGTCTTATAACATATTACCATATGGTAACGAAGTAAAACACAACATGACGTATGTTTTCCTCCATTTTTATAGCATGAAACCATAGCTTACCGCACATTACCATATAGTAATAAACTAAAACACAGCAGGACTTATGGTTTTTTTGCTATTTTACAACATGAAATCATAGCTTACCACACATTACCATATGGTAACAAACTAAAACACAGCAGGACTTATGGTTTTTTGCTTTTTTACAACATGAAACCATAGGTTACCACACATTACCATATGGTAACAAACTAAAACACAGAAGGACTTATGGTTTTTTGCTATTTTACAACATGAAACCATAGGTTACCACACATTACCATATGGTAACAAACTAAAACACAGAAGAACTTATGGTTTTTTGCTATTTTACAACATGAAACTATAGCTTACTACACATTACCATATGGTAACAAACTAAAACACAGAAGGAGTTACGGTTTCTTGCCTTTTTATAACGTGCAATCATAGCTTACCACGTCATACCATGTGGTAACGAAGCAAAACACAACAGATTCTACACCAGTTCAGCAATGCATGCTAACGATTCGGTAATGTAGCGAGTTTTACTACAATTTTCACATGAAGAGTGACTGAAATACTGTTTCTATTGTTCTATGGATGGATTTCGAAGAAAGAAGTGAGGTTTTACCTTGATATTTTGTGCGAAAACGATTTTTGAGCCTCGTTGAAGTTGGAAACCCTTCGTTTTTCGACGAAGAAGCGAGAACAGTGTATCGTTGAATGATTCTTCGAAAAGCTTTGCGAAAATCGTTCGATTTGAAGTTTTTTTCTGAAAGTTTTTGCTGCGATTTTGGTGAGAGAATTGAGGATCGGGAGGAAGAATGGAGAGTTAGAGAGCAGAGGGAAGTGGAACTGTCGCTTGAAAGGTGAGAGAAAGAATGAGAGAAGGCGGGACGGTTGTCGCTGTCACGTCTGCAATTCAAATTGTCAGAGACGTGATTACCTTTTTGCCCCCCGCGTGTATTTAATTGGCATGATCTGACGGCTGGGAAGATGGTGCGATGGACGGTCAGATGGACGGTTACTGACCGTTACTGATAGGTCGGTTACTGATAGGATCCGGACCCAATTTATCACCCATATTCTCAATTCTCAACTCTTTTTCCTTCTCATAATATGAAATATTTTCTTATTACATGTCATGCCTCTACGGACAAGGAAACTTTTCCTATACTATAAAAGGAAGCAACTTGGGGTATGTTTTTAGGGTTCTTACATCGTGGCCCCATTATCTTATTTTTCTTTTCTTTTCTTTGTGAAGCTGCGCAGAGAATCGATCTCTTTGAATTCGACGCACATAGTATAAAAAAGCCAACGACAATGGAGCTGCGCGGTTCGGCTTCTGATAGGATTAGCGACGTTCCGACCAATTTGATAACAGAGCACATTCTGACGCTGTTGCCCCTAAAAGACGCAGCGAGAACCAGCATCCTGTCTAGAAACTGGAGGCAACACTGGAGAAGCATTCCTCAACTCGTGTTCGATCGCGATTTCGCTCCAGTACTCCCCAATACGGCACCGGACGAGACCAAACTAACATTGAACATTCACGAAGCTCTGCTGCTTCACGACGGTCCAGTAACCAAGTTTGAGCTCTCCGTTCCTGGAGTGGGAGAAGACCTTTTACATAAGTGGATTCCTCACGTTGCAAGCAAAGGTGTCCAGGAACTTGCTCTTCGGTTTCCCGTCCGTCAGACGTCCAAGCTGCCTTCCTCCCTGTTCACGGCCTGCAGCCACCTGACAGTTCTGAAACTGCAGCATTGTAGTGTTGGTGCACCATCTTCTTCAGTGGGATTTCCTAAGCTGGTCACTCTTGAGCTTGAACATGTTATCATGCCTGAAGATCTCCTGCAGAAGTTACTGCCGGAGTGCCCCCTGCTCCAAGAGTTGAGGGTTCTGCACTGTAGCAGGCAAGAATATAAACTTAATGTGCCGTCTCTCAAAGTGCTTTTCATTAAGTCGAGAGGTTCCGGTTTCAACATTACGTTCCAGCATGCTCCAGTGCTTTCAGTGCTATCACTTACAGATGGTTGGAATTCTAAGAATTGGTTTGCACTGTTTGCTTCTCTCCCCAAGCTCAGGCAGCTGACTTTTGGAATTCGTTCGCTGCTGGTAAGTTAGGAGGCCATATTTTACGGTGATTTTCTCCCACAGGAAACACACACACTTTCAAACACGAGATTGATTTCCTGTGTGACCCAAGAATCTTTCTTCCTTGTAGTGCATTGTCTCTTATTTGTTTGCTTTCTGCAGTTCTTTGACGAGGGTAATGCAGCAGCCTACAAGAGATCTAAAACTTTCTACCAATTAAAATTCCTCGAAGTAACTCGCCTTCTTCTGGATAACTTGCCACAAGCACGGCTTCTAATTTGTATGATCATGCGTTCCCCCAACTTACAAAAGCTCACCATTCGGGTTGGTTTCTACACTTCTTTTGTACTATATTTGGTTAACTCTTCAGTCTTTAACTTGATTTTTTTTACAAAACTTTCTTATAGTTGCGTATTAGTAGTACTGCCCAGCCGCCTTCAGGGGTTATTGATACCTTACAGGAGTTGTTGGAAGCAGAGGACCGACCTGGAGTTTGTTGCCTTCAACATCTTGAAGAGTTGCACATTCAGGATAGCCAAGGTGCACGAGTCGAGCTGGACCTGGTGAGGTTTGTTATGGCCACTGCTCCACAACTTCGTGTGATCTCGATTAACCGTGCAGTTAACCTGCAATCGTCTGATAAGGTTTTGGAATTCTTGAGTGAATTGGTATCGTACAAGCGTATTTCCAGAGACGCGGTGGTCAAATATGTCTAGGAAAAGATGAGGTTGAGTTGAGACACTTGTTAGGTTTTACCTCTCTGGCCCTTTGGGTCGTTGTTCACTCACCTACTTTCATGGTGCTTGATTCTTTTGTTCTCGTTTCTTCTTTTCCCGGATTGAGGTGAGGGTGTTTGATCCTGGTTGAATGTAGAAGTTTTGATTTGAGGTGAATAATAGTTTTAAATTTAAATGGCTGTTTACTCTGCATTATTATTACTGTCATATTAGACCATAGCTCACTTAATGGATAGAAATGATCCACGCAATCTTCATATATATTTAGTAGGGGTGAAAGCTTGACCAGGAAGATCCATTGACCCGTCCCGTCCCTAAGGGTCGGGACGGGTCATTTGTTGACCTTGTGACGCTTAGCAACAACAAATATCTCACACCATATTGGACCTTTTCGTAAAGTTTTAAAAGTTTATGTACTAACTTGTAAAAATAAAAAATTTTGGATGCCAAAATGTAATTTTACCATCATAATTTATGGACTTATTTGTAAAAAATAAATTTTAGATACTGAATTGTAAGAAAAATAATTTTGGGTACCAAAACGTAATTTGTAAAAAAGTAGTATGTTGATTAGGGTCGACCCCCGGACCAGGCCCGTCCCGTCCCAAGCCTTGAGGGTCAGACATGGTCAAGAAAGAGACAGGGACGGGACGGGTCAGTTTTACATCTTGACCCTTTAGGGACGGGTCAGACATGGTTAGAGACGGGACAAGGACGAGACAAGTAAATTTTCAGCCCTACTTAGTAAGTGGATTGAGTATTGAGTGGGTGATGAAGGGCAGTGCTGCAAATTAAATAAGCCAAATTGCTTACGAGGGGCTCGTGATTGGCTGTTAGGTTGAGTTAAGCATTGTTAGGCTCGTAAGGTTCGCGAGCCAGTTCGATTTGGTGGCTTGTTGAGTTCAACTTGCGAGCTAGTTCATTTTGAGCTATCAGTTGGCTCGACTGTATGACTAATGAGCCACCTCAACAAGCAACTTGTCAGCGAACCGGTACGGTTATTACTTACCATTGACTTGTTGATAATTCATTGGTTTATTAGATTATGTATCTCATAAGCTATGATGTTTAGAAATTTGAGCATGTGGTTAAATATGTCTCATTTATAATTCGCAAAATACACTTGTATAGTCAACACTTTGACGGTTTTGCCAAATATAGCCACTTTTGACGAAATACCAAAAAAGCCACTTCCTTCCAATTCTTTGACGGCGTGACTTAACGTACTGACTGGACTAGCGGATAGTCCGATGTGGCGATTTTTGTCTGGTAAGTATTTTTCACGTGGATTTAATAAAAAAAATAACAAAAGGTTTGGAAAGGGTTAGTCGAACATATCAGACCCTCTTCTCTCTTCCTTTTCATTTTTCTCTTCCGCCACACGAGTTTCCCCTTCGACGCATACTCTGCTGACTACAACGAACAACGCTCCCCTTCTCCATATCGGCGGCGTTTATCACCAACGACGAGCGCGCCCGTGCCGATCGACGATCCCGCAACGACAAACAAAACCCCTTTCCCCCACACCAGATTTTCCTCCCTCCCATCCCACATACACACCCCAACCTTCCTCCTCCGACTCGGCGGCCAGGCATTCGATCGGTCAATAGAGGGTCGGCGAGCACATTCCGGTGACGTGATTGACTTCTGGTGAGCTCAAATAGACCATCTAGACCAAAGATTCCAGAGTTGGCTTTGACTGGAAAAAACCCTAATTCTCAAGAAGCTACGTGGTAATCGTGGGCGGTCGATTTTTTGGGCTTCTTCCTTTCATTCGACAGGTAAGTAATCTACAAAACTTGTCGCAAATGTTCGATTGTGAGTGCAATGTTGTAAAGTTTGGTTAGTTCCTTCGTTTTATAGATCGTAGCGGGCATTAAAGGCAAGAAAGCGACACAACAAAGGCATCTCAGGACCAATGAGTTGTCTTCTTTCTCGAGTTTGCCCTTGAAATCGAAGGTGAGCAGCTCAATATTTTGGGTACAATCGTCATTGGCTTTGAAAAACCCTAGGATAGAAAATGTTTGTTGGGTGGTTCTGCATTTGTTGTTTAGTGATTTAAAAACTGATTAAATTAGGTTAGTGACTACAATTGTGATTAGCAAATTACATAATTTTTGGGGTTACTGACCAAAGTGTTGGTGTGTCTGTCCACATGTACCATGGACAAGGAAACTTTTCCTATCCTATAAAAGGAAGCAACTTGGGTTATGTACTTAATGTTTTTAGGGTTCTTACATCGTGGCCACATTATCTTATTTTTTCTTTTCTTTTCTTTGTGAAGCTGCGCAGAGAATCGATCTCTTTGAATTCGACGCACATAGTCTAAAGCCAACGACAATGGAGCTGCGCGGTTCGGCTTCTGATAGGATTAGCGACGTTCCGACCAATTTGATAACAGATCACATTCTGACGCTGTTGCCCCTAAAAGACGCAGGGAGAACCAGCATCCTGTCTAGAAACTGGAGGCAACACTGGAGAAGCATTCCTCAACTCGTGTTCGATCGAAATTTCGCTCCAGTACTCCCCAATACGACACCGGACGAGACCAAACTAATATTGAACATTTACGAAGCTCTGCTGCTTCATGACGGTCCAGTAACCAAGTTTGAGCTCTCAATTCCTGGATTGAGAGAAGACTGTTTACATAGGTTGATTCCTCACTTTGCAAGCAAAAGTGTCCAGGAACTTTCCCTTCGGTTTGCCGTCGGTCAGACGTCCAAGCTGCCTTCCTCCCTGTTCACCGCCTGCCGCCACCTGACGGTTCTGAAACTGCAGCATTGTAGTGTTGGTGCACCATCTTCTTTCGTGGGATTTCCTAAGCTGGTCGTTCTTGAGCTTGAACATGTTATCATGCATGAAGATTTCCTTCAAAACTTACAGCCGGAGTGCCCCCTGCTCGAAGAGTTGCGGGTTCTACACTGTAGCAGGCAAGAATATAAACTCAACGTGCCGTCTCTCAAAGTGCTCTCCTTTGATCACTCGCATGGTTACGCCTCGGTGTTTACGTTCCACCATGCTCCACTGCTTTCAGTGTTGTCGCTTCCACACGGTTGCGCGTATCCAAATTGTTTCGCAGTATTTGATTCTCTCCCTGCGCTCAGGCAGCTAACTTTTGGAATTCATTCGCTGCAAGTAAGTTGATTAAATCGTTGTGTCTATATTTCGTTCATCATTGGATGTGGTTACCGCGGTTAGTGTGTGGTATATGATACACGATTAAACCTCTCCCAACAACTCGAGTTATTGGGATCAACTGGTTCTTGACATGGTATCAGAGTCTTCTGTGACCGAGAGGTTGTGTTCGATTCCCGGTGATCCCCACTTGTTGAGCACATGATATTCAGACCTGTGCAAACTTCAAGCCCTTGTGAGTGGCTTGACTGAAAGCACGTGGTTTCGGTACTTAATTCATTTGCTTTCTGCAGTTCTCTGAGGAGGCTAATGCAGCCTGCAAGCGAACTACAACCGTCTACCAATTAAACGTCGTTGAAATAACTCGCTTTCTTTTGGACAACTTGCCACAAGCACGGTTTCTTATTTGGCTGATCATGAGTTCCCCCAGCTTGCAAAAGCTCACCGTTCGGGTTGGTTTTTACACTTGTTTTGTAGGCTATATATGTGGGTTTACATTTGTTAATAACTCTTTCAGCCTTTGACTTGTTTTTTTTTTTTTTTTTTTTTTTTGACAAAACTTCCTTTCAGTTTGGCACCAGTACTGCCCAGCCGCCTTCAGAGGTTATCAATAGCCTACAGGAGTTGTTGGAAGCAGAGGATCGACCTGGAGTTTGTTGCCTTCAACATCTTGAAGAGTTGCACATTCAGGATAGCCAAGGTGCACGAGTCGAGCTGGACCTGGTGAGGTTTGTTATGGCCACTGCTCCACAACTTCGTGTGATCTCGATTAACCGTGCAGTTAACCTGCAATCGTCTGATAAGGTTTCGGAATTCTTGAGTGAATTGGTATCGTATAAGCGTATTTCCAGAGACGCGGTGGTCAAATATGTCTAGGAAAAGATGAGGTTGAGTTGATACATACACTTGATCGGTTTTACCTCTCTTGCACCTTTGGGTCGTTGTCCACCTAATTACAGGGTGCTTGATTTTTTATGTTCTCGTTTCATCTTTTCCCTGAATGATCCTGTTGAATGCAGAAGTTTTGAAGGGGCTTGGATTTATTCAGTGCATTGAGGTGAATAATATTCTCAAATTTGAGTGGCTGCTTTCTCTGCATTATTATTAGTGTCATATTAGACCATAGCTCACTTATTAATGGATAAAAACTACCCACGCAATCTTCATATATACTTAATTAGTGAGTGGATTGTGTATTGAGCTGGGTGATGAAGGGTAGGGCTGCAAATTAAATAAGCCAAATTGCTTAAGAAGGGCTCGTCATTCGACTTGGAAAAACTTATTCGACAACCGGATTGTTAGGTTGAGCTAAGCATTGTTCAGCTCGCAAGGTTCGCGAGCCGGTCAATTCGACTCGGTTGCTTGTGGAGATCAACTTAAGAGCTAGCTCGTTTTGAGCTATGAGTTGGCTCGACAGTATAACTTGCGAGTCATCTCAACAAGCAACTTATCAGCGGGTCAGTTATTAATTATCATGGACTTGTTGATAATTCTTTGGTTTATTAGATTATATATCTCATCACCTATGATGTTTAAGAATTTGAGTATGTGGTTAAATAGATCTGAATTATAATTTAAAAGAGAGATTAAGTATTATAGATTGCTCATGTACTAATTAGTATGAAATAACATGATATAAACAATTAAAATTTATGAACTAAATGATATGACCTCTTATCTCGAGCCGATCCCGTGAGCACAATAAAGAGTTGAGATCAAGGCAAGCTCGAGTTAAACACAAGCCAATATTTTAGTAACCAAGTTGAGCTCGAGCTTGACTCGTTTATTAACGAACCGAGCCCAAAATAGGTCAAAACTTGGCTCGACTCGGCTCATTTGTCGCTCTAAAGGGTACGACTAGTAACCAGTTATCATGTAGTGGTGTAATCGATAATCGAACCAGAATCGGTGGTTAACGGTTCCAACGATAACCAATTAAAGCATAAACAGACAGTTCCTGGTAGCCAAATTTAGCTAATTACTAATCGACGGTTAAACTGTTAGTAACCAATAGTTAAATGATTAATTAGCCAACTAACTGATTACAGACATCCTCGTGGTTAGGACCGACAATAATAGGCATCAATGAGTCACAGTCATAGGCAAAAAATAATGGAATATTTGAAGGTCTACAAGATCCCTTGCCTCCCTAGTTGACTAGTTGTAATAGTAACTTAGGTTCAAATGAGAATAATTTTAATGAAGGGCTTTAGAAGGAGCAAAATACAAAGTTAGACTTGCACAGTTGCACATAGTAGCTCAACAACAATATGCTAAATTTAAGCTTCCATGTAATTTCTGGGGTTTATGAGTAGAGTAATTGTTGTTAGGTATATTATTCTTATCCATTCTTTAATCAAATTTGTCGGTAGAATGGCGATTTTGCGTGCTTGTGTTGGATTGACTTGATCATGGATTGATATCTTTGTTAAATTATTTTATACTCAATGATAGCAAATGAAAAACACAACACGGGTTTGAAGATGAGAATTGACCGTTTCTAATATATATTTCTTTTGAAGAAATAATTTGGTAATATATATGAATACAGATTAGTGAGATTATTTTAACGTATGTCGAATATAAACATAATCTATTTGGTAGTAGAGATTTTCTCGCATACTATTTTAAAATCGACTTAAACAGGTTGAACCACATCCAACCATTAAAGGTCAAACCACTTATTAAACTAATTTGATAACTTAATCCTGTTTGACAACCTTGATGTACATCCTTAGAGGGGTTATCATACCAGCTAGGAATGGCAATGGGGCAGGTCCGGGGCGGGTATCTCGATACCCATACCCGCCCCGTGGCAGGTCGGGTATTTTATCACGGGGCGCGGGTCGGGACAGGTCGACCCAATGGGTATCTAATTTATGTAAAAACATTAGAAATATTCAATATTTTCATTAAAAGACCAAGAAACAAACCATAATATGATGAAATGTAGTTAAATTATTGGAGAAATAAGGTTTTCACTTATTTACAAGTTTATTATAACTAAAATATGAGGTAGTAAAAGGAAAATCCTAAATAATTTGACTAACATTACATGTAATTTAGGGAAGAACGGGTCAAGAATCACTACAAGAAAAATGTGATTTACCGACAATAAGGTAGGGACGGGCAATTAAACCCGTCGTTAAATGTATTAATTTGACGGGAGCTTCCGCCGATTAGTCGACCGTCGAGAAAATCTGTGACCTGCGGATGGTCAACATGCAGTACAATGTTGACCTTTAAGGCTTTAACAAATAAACATTTATTTATATTATTTTATGATTTATAAACATGAATAAAAAAATAACTCACAAATTTAAGTTTCCTCTTCTGAAAGCCCACTGCCTGATTCTTACTATTTTCTATTTTTGAAAAAAGAAAACAGAGAGTTCTTCAATGGTACTTTCGAAACCCTAGTTCTCGATTGCAATTTTCAGTTCTCTAACCCTTCGTCAATACCTGCCATCGTTGATGTCGCCGCCGGTACCCACGACCTCGTTTATTCTCTCATCTTACATTGATTTGGTATGCTTCCTATTTCCTAATCCTAGTTTCATTTTCAATTTGTCGTATCGCCCCGACCTTTTCCGGCGTCCACAACGCCGGTGGTACCTCAGTCTTCTACGCTGTCTCTTCTCTTAGCTTGCTTCCGTTGTCGACATTGCAACTCTCTTTCACCGATTCATTATTATTAACAGACGCAGAGCAGAATTTTCAAATCTTCTTTCTCAGAGAAGGGTCGGGAGGAAAGCTTGTTGAGTTCTTCAAGGCAGATCCCAGCTCGGTAATCCAGCATACACTACATGCAACTAGTAAGCAGAGATTCTTCAGAGCTTCTAATTCTTTTGTTGATTTCAATTTCATAGCTGTATAGAGTGTTCCATGAGTTCGGCGAAATATGTTCTTCTCTATGGGAACTCTGACGATTTTGCCCACCAGCTATTCGATGAATGTTCTCAAAGAACTATCTAACTTCAATTAATAAGAGAAACCTTCCATGCTTGCTTCTATTGCATTTTTTTGCCAATATTTGAGCTTGCCTACAGACATGGGGTAGTTATTTGCTATGTAGAAGGAATGAAGAAAGAAGTTATCTTATCCCCTGCTCTCTGTATACTTGGTCAATAACTAAGAATTTGATAGTCTTGTCAACTCCACTTTTAGCCTTTAGAAAGGCTTAAAGTAATCAATCATTTTGATTGTACTCCTTCTCAAATTCTTTGTTTGGGCGTTGGTTTCATTTCTGGGTTCCTGTTTACTTAGCAGAAGCTCTTATTGAAACAATAACTAAGGATTAGGCTTGCTCAAGTTTCCATTTAGACAATAGCTTTTTGGTGATTTATAATTCATTAACTTGTGGGGATGACTGGAACTCTCTAGTGAATGACTCAACATTAGTGCTTCTGGGACAGAGTTGCCCCATAGGTTCAGAAGTCCTTACATTTGAAGAAGAAGTTGATATACTGCTTTTGAGTAGGCTCTCTAAATTCTCAGATCAGTAATTTTCTGCTGATTCAAGTTATTATACCAAACTTGAGCTGGTATAATAACAACCATGCATGCTTAAAGAGACGAGTCACTATGTCTTACTTTCATTGGTTATGTTGATGACAGATTAAGTCTACTTATGCTATACAACAAGCCAAAGCTCAAGCATATCCTTAACCCCCCTCGAGTAGTTCAGTAAGTATGTCACTAACTTCCCTGTGGGTTGTTGATGTATACATTCTGATTTTGTAGCAAAGCATAAAAGCTGTCATCTTCTAAAATTTCATGTTGTAGTCATGTCATGGTGTTACCATCATGTGTTAATGTTTTGTTGGGTGTGTTACTTGAAATAGCATAATCTATTAGAAGAGGAAATTATTTGTTTGAAACATTATCTTTTGGTAGTCTGTTGTCATGAGAGTTTATTTAATAAAGACAGACAATTCACTTTTGAGTTTGGGATTTTCTTCTTTGATCTCAAATTTCCCACTGAAGGCGAGCTAATTTGCCAAAGGAAGGCTGATAGGTATTTGTCTTCCCTCTTTAAACTTTCCTTTGCATTCATTGACATTATAGCAAGCTCATTCTACCATGTAAGCTGCAGAAAATGTTCATTCAGATGACATGCTTAAGCTGCAAAAAAAAAAAAAAAAAAAAAAAAAAAAAAAAAAGGAGGATAGCAAGCATACTGTTTTGGTTATGCAGTTTTCTAATTCTAAGTTGCACAAAATAGCAGCAAAAGGCTGTCCATTAGAGCAAATTCCAGAAACAATCCACAGAGCTTGGACTTGAAGAAGGTTAATGGGAAGAAGGTGAATGGGAGCCCCAGAGTGGAGGGAGGAGCTCCGCCTGATAATTACAAAGTGGATCACAGTCCCCATAATTGCTTGATGGGAAGATTCGTGGAGGACAGGCTGGTTTACAGGCAGAGTTTCATTATCAGTTCCTATGAAATGCATGCTCAACTAGTCATCTCTCTTTCCTTTGATGCTTTTTGTTCATGTGTTTACTTCTGTTCATAGTTGAGTCCTTTAACCTCATAAGTTGCGATTTAATGGACCAATATGCAATGTAGTGCGATTTTTATGACATGCTGATACCCTTTTCTAGTTGGGCCATAAATCACACAATACACTAGTTAATTTAGTGATACGATTATAGCAGATCTAGGTTGTTTATTTCTTGACCTCCACGTTGTTTCTCCGGCCTTCAATTGAATAACCTTCAGCCTCGGGACCAGCAGCAACTGCGACGGTCTGAAATTCATGAATAACTTTAATGAGTATGTTAGTGAAACTCACCTTCTTACTCATGTGGCTGTTGTTGCTTCTGATTTTGTTTACTATGTCCACAATGTAGGGTCTTTGAAAGTTCCCTTCGTCTTCCTTACTATGGGTGAGACATCTAAGCTAACCCACTCGTTTACTTAACACTGTATGTGAAGGCCACGCTAATCAAATGAATGGAAATAATACCTGTGCATCAATATTTTCCTGTTCTGAAGCATTAGTTAACTCTCTCTGTATGATTCTTCGTGAGTTAGGAGGTGGTCATCCTGAACATAGACAAACTTCGGAGTTAAGTGGGAT